CATTCAAGTAACGCAGTGCGCTTGGCATTGTATGCAGCAGAGATAGGGAATACAATTGGGTATTGTAGAGAATATACAACAAAATAGTATATGTTGTTCCTCACCATCTAGCATAGTATTGATTTTCTGTGATACAACAGGGTTTAGTTATTTTTATGATATATTTTTTCTTCTGCAGTGATCCGAACTATAGATTAAATAAATATTCATCGGTATCTATCTGTCCATACAAGTCAAACTTCTGTATAAATGCTATGATGAGTGATGTATCGATTGTTACTCCGTTTTTTCACTTTAATTAGAAGCGTGATTGAAGTGGTGATGGTGCGCTGCACATACATAGTTTAACCTCTTTGTTGGTGTAGCTCTACCTCCAACAGCTTCATTGAGGCACCATTTGCCAGCCTTGAACAAGAGTTCCGGCCTGGCTAAAGTCAATTCTATGCCAATGTTAATGCACAGTGTGCCACTCACTGACTCACAACATTCAGCTGACATTTTTAGCCAGTGAACAGCGTCCAGATCGGCTTCAGCCTTCTGCACCCCGCAGGACAGGAGCCTCAGAGCCAAGTGGGGACCCAGGTAAGAGGACAAACTATTGCTAAATGATTTGCCCATTACTGATGAACCGGGCCCAGGTTCTCCTGGCATCATAACTGCTACAGCCCACTGTATAGGTTTTTTTTGAGCAACCCGTTAACCATCTCTTTTCAGACTCTGGTACGGTATAGGTTTGATCAGCCCTGGGAGAGAGAGTCAGAGTATGAATAGTTAATTCACAGTATAGGTAGGATAAGAGGTCCTTCTCCCAGACCAGTCCAGTAAAAAACAATAGCAGGTAACTTCAAAAGAATGCTGTGCTTTTAGAAAAACCTTCAGAAAAGAAACAAATGTTGGTTTTAGAGCTTAGTCACTGATTCTGACAGTTTTCAAGTTTTCACAATTATTTTTTCCCTCATGAAGTGGGGAAGCTGTTATCTCTTTGAAGGGGCACCTTTTTGATGTAGCCCAAACTAGCATATTTGGGATTGTATATACTATATCCATCTTTAGCTAGACATACCTTTACTTTATTTATTGATTTTATTTATTTCACTCACTGCTCCATCAGGTCTCCCTCACCTTTTCTCAGGTTTTTAATTATTGTATGATCTCTGTTGTTTTGTTCCGCTCTCTCTCTCCTTTTCCTCTTCATTACTCTTTATTTATGAGGTCCCATATTATGTATGTGTCCTGCCATGACAAATTTATTTTAACTGACACACACTTGAATAAACATATTTCTAGAATATATTTTATGATTTGCACTATAAATCTTTTGAGTTATTTATCATTTTGACTTTGTGTATCAAAATTTTTTTAATAAAATATATAATACAAAAAAAACAACACATTTAAGGGTTTGATATATTTTTTTGCAATATCCAACTCCCCCTCCTTTACATGTAAGTAAATAGAAAAGTGCAGGTTTTATACAAACAAGTTTTGCAATGTGTTGAGTGTTATTAGAGGAATTAAGGGTTTTTTCCTTCATCACCTTCCAAGTGACCTCCCACTTAACCTTGAAAGTACAACGTTTATGAATGAAAGCTTGTCTGAGTGCAATAACTAAGTCACCCTCCAGAAATCTCATATCGTTGGCAAGTTTCTCCTAATTATACACTAAAAGACTTGTCTTTCACTTATAGACACCAAGACAGCCAATCTGCTTGTGAGCTAACTCCCCCACCTACTTCAACCTTTTTGGCTCTCTGCGTGTTTTCACCTGAAGCTATACTTAATCACTGTCTATGGTTTCAAAAAAACACTTTGGTGAATGGTCCTTTTTTTTTTTTTCAATTTTCATAAACAAAAAGAAAAATACTGTAATCTGGTTCATGTTATAATTTGTTAATTTATAAGAAAAATAAATCTAAATGCAGCTCTACATTAGGTATATAGGTCTTCTAATTTTTCTATTTGATTTCTTGATAAAGGTTTTCAAAATATTTCGCATTCATTGAAAACATAGACACGAAGTACAAAAGGAACAGAGGAACATGTTTACATGCTTAACATCTAGCGTTCACAACATGCTCTGCTTTTTATGTGAGTTTGGGCTAAATATTAATGCCATATTAACACGGGAAGCATGCATCACCCACAGTTTGTAAGGCCATTGTTGCGGCTCCCGACCCGCCGCATTGCGCAGCCATGCCAGACTGACACGACCTCGCCGACGTCAACGCACGCGCACGTTCTGGGGTCAGAGGTCACCCTCTGACCAATCAGAACCAAGAGAGGGATATTTAAATCCCTAATTCACTCCAGTTCCTTGCCCTGCCATGGTTTCCTGTTCCTGGTTCCCTAGAGTGCGTTTATCTTTGTGAATATTACTTCCTGGTATCCTGATCTTGGCTTTTCCCTGGTTATTCCAAATTCTGGGTCCCCTGACTTGGCTTGTTTAAATGGTATCTGAGTGTTTCTGGCTTCCTTGACCTCGTCTTTCCCTTTGACCATTCTCTATCTCTAGCGTATTAGTCCAGCCATTCTAAGGTCCGGTTTACGCTCTGTCCTTTTATTTCCTTTCCTTTTTTATGTATATGTTTACATAGTTTCTGCGTGTTGGACCACACTAGCAGCCGTGACAGCCATCCTGTCTTTATTCCCAACCAGAGGATAGCCTTGTGGTGCTAAATGAAGTCTTAGAATTGCTGCTGTTGCTTTAAATATGCTTCAGTGGTTAGTCTCACATGGCCAACACATCTTTAAGAAACAACTGTCACATTTCTCCTCTTTGATTTATTTAATTTTTTTAATATTGCATGTACCTATTTTGTTCATATAACCATCCACCCACCTTGGAATGACTTTCAATATACTTTTAGATGTGCTTTTCAGGCAAGCATCTGGCTATCCATATGTCCTTCTCACAATCCTAGCATGAGACCTGGTTTTACCTATTTAAAAACACACTAAGACAGAGAGACAGTTCTTCTTACACCGCAGGTCCTTCAGGGTAAGAAGAAGATGAATGATGTACAGAGTTAAGTGTTCCTTACTAATGGGCCTTTTGTTAAGTAATTCTATAAGCCATCTACTGCACTGCATTAAGGTGTCTATGTGGTTACGGAGGTAATAAACCTCATTCTGGGATTTTAATCAAGGATGCTATTTACAGCCTTCATGAAATGGATTTGGTAAATCTCATTATAACATGATCGTTCCAGCATGGCCCGTATAGACCTGGGTTCCATGTTCTTTCAGATTATATATTGACACTATCAAAGATTTAGTGGAGTCAATGTAGATATTAAAAAAATAACGTACAGCAAAAAGCAATTTAATGAGAAACATTTAAAAAAAAAAAAAGCGGTAAAAATGCATTGTTTTATAAGTAACAAATCAGGAAATGTGTTAGTCCATCATAAAAGCAGTTTAGTTTTGTTTTTATTGCGTTATGTTGATATTTAGAATTGGTTTGTAAGCCACCAGTCTGCATACAAAATAGATCTCCTATTCAATTAGATCATAAAGCACAGTGTATTGACTTCTGACATTTTTATAGATTAAAAACCTCTAAATTATACACGCTGTGCAAAAAGAGAAACCAAAAATGTTTTTAACTCTTTTTCAGGAAGTGTATGTGGAGGCTCACGGGCAGGTCCAGGTCCTGATTTGGCAGATTAAAAAAAATAAAAAAAAGTTCACACAAAAACTTTACAAGTGACTGGTTTATGGCTATATGGGTCCGTGATAATCATACGTTAACATACACTGCACACAACTGTGCGTTTGATTGCTTAGGACAGGCTTCCCCAAACTCCGGCCCTCCAGATGTTGCTGAGCTACAACTCCCATGATTCTATGAATGAAATAGAGAGGCTGAGAATCATAGGAGTTGTAGTTCAGCAACATCTGTAGGGCCGGAGTTTGGGAAGCCTGGCTTAGGAGCTCCACTACACTCTACCAGTCAATTCCCAGCTCTCACCCCGGAGATCCAGCTCCCTCTCTCGCTCCATTTCCCTCTCGTCCCCTAGATCCTACAGCCACATCGTTATCTCCCCCAACTCCATCTTTCTCTCATTATCCCAGCTCTGTCTCCCTGCAGCCAACCCCTCTTCCCACCCACCCATTGATAACTAAGAGCCAAACTGCATTCTTATTTTCCTCTAGAACAGAGCAGCTAAATTTAAAAAAGAAAGGAGAAAAAGAAATTGTGGCTTGTGCGATCTTAAACTAAGTATCTAATTCCTTTAATTAACATCTGTTATTTATACTTGCTGTATCATATGTTTTCTGTTTAACATCATACCCATTTCATTATTACATTATTACACCAGCGTGAATTAACTCATAACAATATCAGAATAGTATTGGGTTTGGCTGTTAGTCTTACATTCAGAGCAACGTGAACTTTTGTCCAACTAATTCTGTTTGGAAAAGGACAGTTACTTTTTTCATCGTGATTGTGTTAAGAAGATCTTACTTGGGGACAAGCACATATTAACTGCATTACCGACAAGTTTCAGGATCACAAGCAGGGGACCATTTCTCCTATTATCTGATACAAGGAAACTGCAACTGTAGGCCAAAACAGAGTTGGAAAATAGGGAATGATCTTTGGAAACCCTCCTGGTTTAGTAAATACCCCTAGACACCAAGTGAGGGCGCTAGTAAAATAGAGAAATAAAGACTTAAAAAGTAACCATTTATGGGGCGGGGCCTGACCACTGGTCGGATCAGACACGTTTTGTCTGAGCTCCAGCTTCTGAGATTGAAAAACTGAGCTAACTGCGGGCCATAAGCAGATACTGACCTGGAATTGCGACCACAGCACTACTCAGGCGACAGTGATCCAGGGGACACCCGACAAGACCCCCAACGGCACCAAAGTAACCTGAACAAGGTCTGAGGCCTACGAGCTTGAGCCTGGGTGAGACTGCCACTCGCCCGTGTTCTGCCACCCCCCCCTTTGGACCAGGGGGGTCATCCCGGTCCCCAAGGGAGCCCACCAAGACATGCCGCAGAGCCTCCACTCAGGACCTGCTGAACACAGAGGTCGGAGCAGTGTACCCCATTATGGCCGACAGCCGCCTTCCCTGGGCAGGAAACGATGCCGACACCGAGCAGTGTATAAGTGAGCTTACACTCTAACTCTCTGCGGAATCCTGCAGCAGCCCCCACGACAAGCCCTATGCCCGCTCAGCAACACCTGCACTGAAGACGGGGGTGTGGAGGCGGAGGGGGAGCGGGGGAAGAACGAGATTCCCCGGGCGCGCTTATTCAGACGACAACGCTACCTAACACACTCAACAGGCCCACCTGGGCTAAAGGCCACCGAGGAGATAAACCTGGAGCACCGGCCGCACGCGCTTAGCATCCGATGCCGCAGGCGGCAATCACCGTCAGGATTCACAGTAGTGCCCCCACAGGGGAAGAACCCGACCTCCCAAGGGAGCAACCAGGTTCACGGCCATGAGGTGTAGGCCTCCAACACAACCCGGGGCTACAGGGGAGGATTACCAAGACCCTGCCCCATGCCGCCTCGCCAACCCCACGCCTGACACGGGCTAAACCGGGACTTTCAACCTAAACAGCGTGGAAAGATGACGGGACTACCACCACACTGGACTAAGCTCTCCCACAGTATTCCCAACTGTGACAGATCCCTCTGTCTGAGAACTATCTTGCTATTTCGTTTATTTCATGTGTATTCGTGGAATTACCTGCCCGTACTCCCCCGTTCATTTATTTCTTAAACTCCTGAACAAAACTACCAAACGGCCGGCCACCCAGAAGAGAAGTGTGCTGCTGGTTAACCTCTTGGCCTCATTAGAACATTGTGGTTAACCGCAGACACCTCTCAATTGAAACCGTATGCTGGGTGGTCGTCGTTTGTATGCCGACCACGAGGCGGCGGCCATCTTAGACGCGCAGTGTTCGTCAACAATCTTATGGAACCCACAACGGACACTTTTTCTCCCGAACACCGCTGAAACCGCCGACCTCCCTTCTTTGTCCTCTAGCATACGAATGCCGGTCCGTTCGGGACTTTTATTTCACGAAGGGACTTGACCCAGATAGCCATCCCATGGAGCCATTCGTATACCGAAAGAACAGTGTGAAAGAATTTGGCTCCATGGCGATTTAACTGTGTGTATTGGATCTGAGCGCCATTCGGTAATAATGTGCGCTCAGATCTAGGCTACCTGGGGATACGTTATATGTACTGAATGTATTCGGTAGTTTTCCAGTTATTGATTTTTATGTATTTTTATTGTCTCATGTAAAATGGCGTTTTGCCTCTATCCATGGAGATAATTGGATTTCTTCCCAATTATTTCCAGGATAGAGAGGAGGGGTTTGCTCATACAAAGGGGAGTGTTTATGCCTTGGCCACTGTGATTGGCTACTGTACTATACTTGTCCCAGTCTTCCATCTGGTCCCCTAGGGGAGTGTCCACCAGGTGGGAGACCTGCATAAATACCGGGCATGTAGCCCTCAATAAACCAGATTCCTGTTTGACCCTCAATACAGAGCTTGGTCTTGTGATTGGGGGGATTGCTACTGTGGAGTATTCTTTTGCCTGTTCCAGGAGAGAAGGATTTCGTATGGTTCTCCGTTCGGTGAATTGAAGTGTTTGTGAGTTGCTGGTCCCGTATCAAGGGGAGGAGGAGTTCGTATGTTTTTCCGGTTCGGTGAATTGAATAGTTTGTGAATTGCTATTCCCGTATCAAGGTGAATCCCTTATTAGGTATTAACCCACGATACCCGGGTTAAACCGTAACACCAACCTATCTTGCTGCACAGGTAACCGCAAGAAGGACTTTGCTCGCAATGTGACAATGACCTAAGCATTACCTTGCCCGTATGTTTCACCTCTTATGAAGACACGCATACAAACACATTGGTACTGTATGGGCGGTTAGTACTCTAGGCATGTCACCATACTAAGACACAGGCAACCAGCACACACTCGACTGCACTTAGCACACACAGCCTGGTACGTGACATACACCAGCTTAGTGGTCCGTCCGAGGACCTCCAACGGGATAACCATGACCAGACACACACTAGGGACAAACATAAACGAATAACGACACAAGCCGGGTGATACTATCGTGACGACTGATAACACTTATACTAAGTCAGCTTGCACCACCCGCTAGTAGTGTGTTAACTGTATTATGTGTCCCTGTAAAAAAGCACTGTTTAATTTTATACTTATATTTTTGTATGCCAATAAATTTTGTTACTTTATAAGTCTTTATTTGACTATTTGAAGTAACTATACCTCAATTTTCTAGCACCCTCACTTGGTGTATGTTTTATTGTATGTTTTAGTAAATACCTATATTGTATAATATTGCTAATGAATATAGACTAAAGTAAAGTTTATATCCTAATAAACAAAGTACATAAAACTTACATAATTAAAGGCAATGGTTTAGGTTAGCCACAACCACAAATCTATTGTATTTGTTTTTTACATCAGCTGAGATTTTGATTATTGTACCTGCTCTGAATACATTTGTGTGGTTCTTTATTTTGTCTGCCTTTTGTAATTTTGTAATACACTGATATTGGTTATCTTGTGTTCTAGCTAGTTTTATAATTACATCTGGGAGACTAGTGTGCATGTTAATGTTTAAGAAGTGCCTTAATACCCATCTCTTTAGGAGTGCCTATGGCCTCCCAGGGTAACCTCTACCTTACATACCTGTCTCTTTCTCTCTCCTAAAGGGCAGCACTTTACACTCTCCTCCAACTCTGCATCACTCCCATCTTATTTGATTGCTATTTCCTGTCCTAATGTGTTTTATACCCCATCTCCTATAGACTGTAAGCTCGTTTGACCAGGGTCCTCTTCAACCCATCGTTCCTGTAAGTTTTCTTGTAATTGTCCTTTTTCTAGTTAAATCCCCCTCTCATAATATTGTAAACAACTATGGAATCTGTTGGTGCTATATAATAGCTAATTACTGGAGTGAGAATTCAAAGTGAATTTCAAACTAAAGGCCAGACTAGCTGACTTAGAGAATTTTTCAAGTTTGGACATTTTGACCTTTTAAATTAACTGTGAATTCTCACTTAAGAGAATAACCCTGTAAATTGTAGCTGTCTGATTCTTCAGATGTCACTTTACATTGTTCTTCTTATAGCTCTTTAATTTTTTTTGTCTAAGCATTCACCCATAGACAGCTGTGACCCAGCTTTATATTTTAACAATATTTATATTTGTCCACTTGTATCTATATAATGTCCTTCATATGAAAGATGGGCAGGACTATTGCGGGTATATCATTATAGTCTTCTTCTGCCTAAACTCAACTACAAGTCTGAGTGACATTCAAAGTCCAGGATTTTCAGTCTTTAAAATCTTAAGATGTAAACAAAGTCCCTCAAGGTGTTTTGAACAAGGCTTTTCATTTTCAAACCTCTGTTTCAGATTTGTAGATCTCACACTGGTACTCTTGCATAAGGACCTTCTTAGTGTACCTTGTTTACATAACTTCATCATGTATAGTTTATAAATCCGTTATATTCTACAAATATGAATCTAAAACCGAACACTGCAGCCTCCGTGCTAGACATTTAAACGAATTTAAGAATATATAACCATTCTGCAACACCACTCCGAATATATCCCCCGTACAGCTCCAATTGTGTATTGTGCTACTAATTGTAGTCTAGGAGAGATACTTGGTCTGCAATATTATTCTATACTTGAAGCAAGGATGTATGCCGTAACTCCAAATTCATGCACACCGGTGTAATTCCTCAAGTTTCATTCTTTATTTTAACTGGTTCAACATTAAAGGAACACCTTACGCACTACAATGTACAGTAGTGGGTATGATGACAGGAGCGCCCTCGCACCCCACCAATGTAAGTAGTCAAAGCATTTTAGTGACGTCTTACCTTGGGTTTGCCATGCACTGCTCCCTGTCTCAGCTACAGCCTCCAGGCCATCTAGAAACTTGTTGCCTTAGCTAAGTCCTGCAGTGGAGGGTCAACTGCTTGGCAGAGAGAAAGAGCTGGTTGTTCTTTGCCAATGAGCTAAGCCCTGCAAGATTGGGCATAGCTCATGCAGATAGCTTCTAGCTGGCATGGAGTTAGAGGATGATGCACGGGAGACCCCTGGTAAGAAGTCAACCATTCTGAAGTAGTTTGGCAACTTGCATTGGGGGGAGCATGCCTGACACTATATCCATGTGGTGCTTAGAGTGGTTATTTTAATGTTGAATCAGTTAAAATAAAAAGTGATTACATTTAAAGGGATTCACTTCTGGAAGAAACTTTCTGACACACCCAACCATGAGGCTGCTCCCAAAATTCCACCAAAATATTCTTAATCTACTGGTTTTCTCTGATTAATATATAGATTGGTGCTCCTGAGATCAATAATATACAGGATTAAAATCTATTTATTTTTTTGCATTGTATTGGATAAGCAGAGTAGTTCAGACTGAGTAAGGAGTAAATCTGCATTTATGTTTAGAGTGAATCATGTCATGTATCTGGAATTTACCACACTATGTGCAATTATGCTAAACTATTTTCCATATCACGCCCTGTTCATTACAACTTCACCCCATTCGAAATCAAAAGGAATATATATGAAACTCACAAATTTGTGACTGATGTGATGGACTGTGCCAGTATAGCCAAGAAACCCTCCTCCTAACATATTGTCCATGTTAATGCTAGTTGACCGACATTTATAGACGATTATTGGAGGGCACAGGAGCAGTAGGGTAGCATGGAAAGGAAAAGACTAAACCTAAGCAGAGAACAGTATTTTAGATAGATCTCCATAATTGGAACACATTTTAGGTCCTTATAAGTCTTGTGAAGAATAAAGAAACAGAATCTAGTAGCAAACAAAAAAACCTATTTAAAAGTATGCAATGAATTCTGCTCTTCTTGGATTCTAAAACTGTAATGCTCGTACCTGGGAACAGATATAGATTGTGCTTGTGGCTACTCACATTACCTATGCATTGCTTTGGGGTATATTCATAATGCATGGTAGGCTGAACCATTTATGTTCAATAAATGCCAGGGCTTGCACACACCAACATGCAAACCCAGAGCTAAAAGTATACTTTGCTACAAAGTCAAACTTACAACCAGTCCTTTAGTTGGCCAGGCTTAAAGTATATAATAACACAAAGATAAAGCACCGGTCTTACAGCAGCAGTAGCTTAGTATCCAACAGCTCAAAATACAAAGTAAAAACAAAGAGAACGTTACATGCGCACTGGTCTAAATCCCCATGTACATTTAAACAAAATGGAGGCTCTTTAGTTTTATTCCAACGGCCATTTGAATATAAGCTTACCTGCCACGTCAATGCAAGCCCCAAAAGGTGAGTCCTACACTAGCCATTAGATTTGCTCATATCAGCCAAGAATCTCCAGTGAAACAGGAAGGGGTATTTTATAAACCCTTTCACATTTAACCCTTTATATGGCTTCTCCG